TATGGCATCTGAGAGATCTGCTTAAAGAAGCCTCAGGCCCCCGGGAGCATATGGCACCCTCAGATGACCTGTGTGCAGGGAGCAAGCCCAGGTGAAGAGCCACGGTGAGCAGTTGTCAGTAGGTCAAGGCAAATGGTGACACCGTGGTGAGGTCAAAGGGCAAGTGGCTGTGAGAAGCAGTGGGGAGAGAGGCAGTGAGGGGGACAAGGTTGTGTAGGAAGGCCTCGGCTGGAAAGGACCTGACAGGTTTGAGAGGCAGCCCGCTCCCCAGTGCTGTGTCCCCCCTGCAGCCGTGCTGGAAAGAACCAGGGCTCTGAGGTCAGAGGTGGAGGGGATGGCAGGCAGACCACAGAACGGAGAAGGAAGCACAACCGTGTGCTCTTTCGACTTCTCACTTGCTGCCTTCCGGGCTGTGATTGTTCCAGGAAGTGGCCCAGGGGTTTTCATTTCCTTTCTTCCACCTTGTGATAACAGTGGCCACTGTTTACATGCCCACAGCCAGCCAGCGTGCTGGACCCTTTCCTCCATTGTGTCATTTCATCATCACGCCCACCCTGGAAGCCTGGGAGAGAGCAAGGCCTGTCCTTTGGTGGCCAGGCTGCTGCCCACATGGGGGAGGCACCCCCTCCACCAGCCCAGGACCCTGAGGAAGGTGCCACATCTGGGGCGGGATGTCTTCCTTGGAGCCAGCTGGGACCCTGCTAACCTCCCCGTAACCCTGAGTGGGCTCCTGGGTACTGGATGTCCCGGCCCCCCCCACTTCTGGGGGCACCCTCCCCATGCGGCCGGCCTGCCCTCTGGGAAGCCTCGGCGCTGCTTTTCTAAGCCGGGCCTGACCCCCACGGGTCCTCGTCTCCCCAGCTGCGGGCCCCAGGGGCTCAGCCCACTCTCTCACCATTTGGAAAGTAGGGAAAAGAAAAAAAATACCCATAAACCTAATACCCTCATCTCTCCTTAGTATTTTGGTATGTTTTTCCATCAGTTTTTTTATTTTTTTATTTATTTTTTGCTGTGCATAATTTTTAGTTGGTTAAATTATGTTTTACAAGACGTTCTCTGGGCCAAGCCTATTGGGGTGTATGTGCACAGAGTGAAAAGACCCAGCACCTGCCCTTAAAAGCTCAGGCTCCAGAGCCAGCCTGTCCTGGCTCCAGTTCTCACTCCTCTGCCTATTAGCTGAGTGACCTTGGGCCTGGTACTTTACCTCTCTGTTCTTTGATTTTCTCATACATAAAATGAGGATAATAAGGTAACAGTTTCCTAGGGTGGTGGTGCGGGTGGAAAGCTCTTGGGCCGGGGCCAGCACACAGAAAGGGGCGCACGGGTGGTGGTGTGATCAATACTAGGAGGTGTGCATTCCGGTAGAAAGGTCAGGGCTTTTCCGCACAGAGAAGGAGAGGAAGGCTGCTCCAGATAGGGTGGCGATCAGTGCGGACGGGCAAGGAGGTTTGACACGGCATTGCTTTGTGGAATCATGTGGTTGGAGCCGGCGGCGGTGGGCCAGGATGCGCGGAGAGGCAGGGACTGTGTCACCCTGTACGCCGCCCATGAGCCGCATGGGAAGCGTCCTGGACTTGATACCACTGAGCCTGTAACGGATGCCCATGCTTTTTCTGAGTTGTTATAACCTCCACAGTCACATAGTATCTCCAGGGTAAATGTGTCATAATTTACCATCCCTCTGATGTTGAATATTGAAATAGCTTCCGTTTCTGCATCAAAACAAAAATTGTTATAGTGCACATTGAGGTGCATGTTGTGTCTTCCATTTTGGGGGGCTCTTTTTCAGGGTCCAATTCTCACGTCTTCCCTTGGGGTCCCTCCCCTCTCCCCTGGCTGTGGGGAGAGGTACAGGTACCCCAGCTCCTCTGTCCCTTCAGTTCCCTAGTGCAGAAGGAACTTGACCTGGGTCTAAACATTCTCACAAACATTCTTGTTTAACCTTCACAGCACATTGAGAGGTGAGCATTGTATTCATTTCATAGAAGCAGAAACTGAGATGGTCTGCCCATACCACATCTTTGCACAAATCACAAAAGGAAGGAATTACAAAGCTTTGGAATGTTTTTAAAGCTCTGCCCTCATGGGCTCTAAGCTTCAGTTTCCTTATCCATAAAAGGAGGTGATCAAAGTGAAGAGGCTAGCGTTTATTGAATATTCACTATCTGCCAGGTTCTTTTGGGCACTGTATGGTCCCCATGTTACAGATGAGGAAACAGACACAGAGAGGTTAAGTAACTTGCCCAAGGACACACCGCTGGTAAGTGGTGAGAGGCCAGGATGTAAACACAGTTTTGCCCCACAGCCACACTGTGCATTCAGTGCACCTGCCTTGTGGTTTTGTAAGAATTAAATGAGATGGTCACATAAAATGCTTAGCTCAGGGCCTCCTACCTAGTAAGTGCTCAGTAAACGTCCCCTGCTACAAGGATTATTGTCCCTTACTCCCTTTACAGGCCTCTTGTTGTTCCTTTCATCCCTAAGGTAGGTCCTCTTCTCAACCCAGAGGCTAGGGTGTGATTAATGTCACTCGCATGGCACTTCCCCCCAGGGTGCCCATGCCTTCATGCCCAGTCCTCAGTGCCTGAGTGCTCTCTTATTTATTTATTTATTTTTGGTTTCAAACGTACATCACAGTGGTTCAAACGTCCCTGTGATCAACTTACATTGTAATCATAAATTATTGGGCCCTTTTATTGCCCCCCCCCAAAGCAACTCCTCCCCCTTGGTAACCACCAGTCACTTCTCACCATTTGACCCACTCTTCTGGCAGGTAACATCCTGGCATAGAGGCAGAGGGTGGCCTCCAGCTGGTTGTCACCTGGCTTTGGTACCTTGGGAAGGCAGTGTGCTTTCTGGGAACCCAGGAAATAATGAGACATCTCATTCTGTCACCCAAACTGGGGACAATTTCCATAGCAGAACTATGACCTTGTGAATGTGAAACAGAAAATTTCCACACAAACATACATTCACTGTTTCTAAGTCTTTACATTCATATTCATTTCTGAGACGCTTGGTTTTCTGTTCTCTCTGAGCTCTCTGGGAAACCAGCGGAGGCAGGCACCAAAGCTTTTAGACAAATTCTTACAGCACCCCCAGGCTCCAGGGAAGTCTGAGATGATCCTGGTCCCCTCGTGGTGTCTAGGAGAAAGGGGACCCCGGTTTTGTTTGTGGGCTTGAATTGATTTGTGCCAGACTCTTTGAGTGCCAGAACCTCAGCTCTGTGTTGCATGGGGAGCACGTCTGCCTTGTGAGGGGCAGTAAACGCGGCCTCACCTGCATCTCCCTCAATCAGTACAGTTCCACGCTGCAGATGAGGAAACTGAGTCTTTCTTGGGGAAACTTGGGTCAGGGAGCAGGACCGTTCTGGCCACCTGTGCACAAAGGCCCTGTGACTTCCCACCAGCCTTCCTACCTCCCACTAGGTGCTGGTTCTCTTTCTTTCCCCTCCTTTTCAGGTCCCTCCAGGCCCAGAATCGGGAACAGTGCTGGTGGGGAGAGATCTGGGTGCCCATGCAGGAAACTGCTGCACTTGGTGAGGTGGGCATGGGAGACTGAGCCTAGCTAACCAGAGACCCCATTTTCTTCCAGACTGCGGGGGCCAGCGGTGGGGCCTCCCCACCTACGCCACAGAAGATGCAGTTCTTCGGCCGCCTGGCCAGTACCCTCAGTAACGTCACCAGCTTGTTCTCTAATCCATTCCGGGTGAAGGAGGTGGCTATGGCAGACTACAACTCGAGTGGCCAGGTTCGGCAGGAAGGGCAGCTGATCCTGTTCCAGAACAGCCCCAGTCGCACCTGGGACTGCGTCCTGGTCAACCCCAGGGACTTACAGAGTGGATTCCGGTGAGTGATGGTCAGCTGCGACCCACTTCTTTCCTTTGACTCCTCCCAGGTTCCAAACTGGAGGTCCCTTGGGCAAAAAGCAGCTTCTTTGGGTCTTCATCTGAGGGAACCGGCAGGGTGGGGAGGGCTGCCTTGAGTGGAAGGAGGGACTTCCTAGACTCCACCCCGTCTGGCCCAGTGGGGTCCCTGTAGCAGGGCCATTGGGATAGAAGACTGGGCTGTTTCGTGCCTCCGGGTTCGACCCATGCAGATGGAGGGGAGGGAGAGTAGGGAGCTGAGAAGGGTCAGATCGGATAAGGCCCAGGGATGCCCTATAGCCCTTGACTGTCTTCGTGGGGCCTGGCCAAGATTTATTTGGGAAAGCCTGTAAGGGGTGGGCAGCTGTCACTTTTCAGGATATACTGGGTCTCTCAGGGACTAGGAGGAGAGGGTAGGAAGCCAGGACAGGGTTGAGGAAACTGAGCCAGTTTCCAGCAGGGCTGGTTGGGAAAAGGGAAGAAGAGTAGCTAAGGACCCGAAATGCAGGGTCCAGAGGAGCTTGGCAAAATTGGCATCAAGTTGGGCTGTTATAGCCATCATTCATCCACCTGGCTGTCCCATCATCCATCCTTAAACATGCACTGAGCACCTCCAGTGTCTCTGGGATCCCTGGCCCTGGGCTCGGCCCAGCTGGCACCAGGAGATGGCAAAACATGCTCTGTGCCTTTAAGGAGTGTGCAGTCCTTTGGGGAGGCCACATGCAAACCAGCAGTTCTGTGATCAGGGGGAGCCCACGGTGCTTGGAGCACACGGAGGCAGCTGCTTCCTGGTGGGCTACTCTGGGTCTAGAAGAATGATAGGAGTGCATCTGGCAAAGCAAGTGGATGAGGTCATTCCAGATGCCTGGCGCCGGGAACCTGAAGGCAGAGAGCTTGGGCTGGATCCTGGGTGCGGGTGGGACTCCGGTGAGAAGTGCAGCTGGAGGGAACCTCCCGGGATCAACCTGATCGAGGAGGCGAGGCAGTCTCAGCAAGTGGCAAGCTGGGGGCCACGGTCAAGCCAACAGGAGAAGAACTAGGTGGGACACCAGGGCCCCAGCCAGTCAGGTGAGGGTTTAGGGTGTGAGTCCACAGGGAAACTGAGGAAAGGTACCCACAGCAGGTGGCGGGGCAGAAGACACAGCCCGGCGGTCAGTTCAGACACCAGTTTTAAAACAGCCAGACCTGTCCAAGCTCTGGGCACAGATGGGCCCTTGGCTGGCCTTGGCGGGTGGGGCCGGCAGCATCAGAAACTGCCATGGGCCTGCAGCTGAGGTCTGCTGTTCAGAGTTCCCAGCTGACCAGGCCGGGGATCCAGTCTTTGGAGGCCACTCATCCTTACTTTTGAGGTGCCCTGCCCCCAGGGCTCCACCTCCCTCCAGCATCATCAGGTCCTGTCAGTTGTTAATACCCCTTGACAGGATTCAGGGTTTGTCTCAGTAAGCTTGAGCCCCCCTGTGGGCAGACTTCCATCCCAGGGGATTAAACCTTGGTCAACAGCTTATTAACGGCATCTGCACTGTTGCTGTCCTCGCCTGTACTTTCACACACAGTATGTCGGCACGTCCTCCGATGACCCGCTGAGGTGAGCAAGGGAGATGGTATCTCAGTGTGTGGATGCGAACACCAGGGCCCGGGATGATAAGCCATCCATTCATGGTTGCCCAGGAAGCAGTGGAGAAACAGAATTGGGGGTCTTCTGTTTCCCGATGCATTCCTGTCTGTGCTGCTGTGCTGTTTCCATGTGTCTAGACAGAATAAGAAGCCTTGGGTGGGGATGCGCACTGAGCATGTGCCTCCTCTTGGAACTCCCGGCAGCCCTCACTCGGCTCTGCAGTCTTTTTCCTCTTCTTTCTGACCTGCTCCCCCGGGCATTCCTGTCCCCGCACATGGCGTTACCATCTATATACGGGGACAATCCTCGGTGCCTCAGGCTCCCTCACCCTCAGTTCTGGGTCATTACTGAGTTCCGTTGGCGTATCTGCTGTCAAGTGGACCTCGAATCTGCTGCTGCTTCTCCACCAGTTACACTTAGGCTCAGCTTGAGTGATAGAAAGCCCAACGTAATAGTTGCCAAACAGGACGGAATTACACTTTTCTCTTAAGTGACAGTCACAGCAGATTGGGCTGTGTTTCTACCACGTGTGGCCTCTGTTTTCTTGGTCCCCAGATGGCCATGCCGCATCTAGCCGTCACAGCCAGCAGCAGATGGAAGGGCTGGGTGAAGCAGGTACTCCTCCCCAGGCACACTTCTTGGAAGCCACACACACACACACCTTCCACTTAAATCCCGTTGGCCACGATTTAGTCGCATGGCCACAACTACCTGCCAGGGAGTCATAGCCTGTATTCCAGCCACATGCCAGTCCGAATTGGGGGCGCTAGGACTCTCTGTTCTGCTGCCAGCTCTCTTTTCAGGCTGCAGTCGTTGTGCGTGCCCAGCCTGTTGCTCTGTCTGTAGCCCTGCTCTCTTCCCATCCTCTTCCAAGCTGCCATCAGAATGATCTTTCCAGAGGACAAATCTGGCTGCTCACTCTTCTGCTTAACCTTGCAAGGGCTCACTGTTTCCTTAACATGGCAGCTGCTGAGCATGGCCTGAAAGGGTCAGTGTGATCAAGTCTTACCTCTCCCCCTGGCCTCAGCTCTGGCCACCTGGTGCCCCTGGCCTTTACCCAGACTCTTTCTCCGGCCTGGAGCATTTTCCCCTTCTCTGCCTGCCTCACTTCTGCTTGCCCTTCCCTGACCTTCAGGCTAGACTGGGAGTGTCTGCTGTGTGTCCCTGTAACACCCAACCTCTGTGCCCCATAGGGCCACAAACCCATGAGGATAGGGCCTAGGTCTGTCTTGTTCACCCCAGTGTGAATCTCTAGCACCAACAGGGTGCCTGGCACATGTCAGGTTTGTGAGATGAATATGATGTGTTCATTCAGCTTCAACAGTAGTTATGGAGGCCACTGTGGGCCAGGCCCTCTGTCCAGGCCTCAGAGACTGTTGGGCTCTGGGCTGTTGAGGGGTAAGCTGGGATGCTGAAGTGCAGGTTGTGAAAAGTTGCAGAAACAGTGATGTCAAGGCCTAGGGTGTGACCTGGGCATGAGGACTGCTGCGGGAAAGGCCAGGGAAGCCCATGGAGGTGGAGTTGGGGCACTGGACCCGAGCCCTGGAGGTCTCAAGGAGGGCAGTCATTGCAGGGGCCTCCGCACTGCCCCGAACACCCCGAGTTCATAGAGAGAGGACTTGGCATTTTAGACTTCCTGCTCAGGGGGCGAGGTTCAGTCTTTTGAGTCTCCCCCTTTGCTTGCCTGGAGAGCTTCAATGTCCCAGAGTGCTTTAGTGTGTTAAGGTGAATGTCCAGGTCCTGCTTCCAGCCTTGGTTCTTGGCAGAGGTGCTCCCGTTGTTCTGTAGCTGCACAGCTGCAGGACCTTCAGGCCTCGGGTGTTATCACCTAAGGCCTGTGGGTCCCACACCCCCTAGCTGAGTGGAGAGATTGGACCCTGGTTGATACAGATGGTAAAAATAGTGATGGTATCTGCACTGTGGTTTATTATATTATAGGGCATACCCTGTGTGGGGCTCTAAGGTCCAAGTGGTAATTCACTTTATCCTCACAATAGTCCCATGAGGTAGAGGTATAACTGACCCCATCTTACGGAGGAGGAAACAGTGCAAAGAATTCAAGGAAGTTGCCCAGGGTCCTAGCTGGTCAGGAACAGACCTGGGGTTCAGGCTCAGGCATTCTGGCTCCAGAACCCACCTCTTCCTTGTCTTCTGCCAGGGCTGCTGTGCAGTGTGGAGAGCTGGGCAGGGCTCAGCTCACCTGGGCCTCCCTGAGCCCCCCACCCAATCCACCCTGGCCTGACATATGGCCCTGGGCCCAGATCTCCTGGTGTGAGTCCTGGGATGTTCGCTTGTAGCACTGCTGTGTACATTATGATATGTACATACTTCTGTTCCTGGTATGAATTAATCATTTACTGCTGACATTTCCTTGTGACATATGCTGTTTGATGAAACCCACCAGCCCCTTACCAGTATCCCAGCAGAAACAGGGCTCACTTCCCAGGAATCCTAGAAAGAATGATCAAAGCACATGTGACATGTGACCTTTGCTTCTCAAAAGGGGACTGACTTTTGAGGCCTTCCACACTGGGACTTTGCCATGAAACTGCTTGTCAGGAAACCGCAGACTAGCAGAGTGGCCTGTGTCCCAGACACACACACACCCTGAGATTTGCTCATCCACCCATTTGTCCAGCCCACAGCCCATTGACCTGGAGCAGAGCTGAGTACAGAAGTCTCTGCCCCCTCAGGAGCTCGGGCAGTAACCAGAAAAGGAAGAGCAGCTGGACCCACATTCAGTGGGATACATGTTATAATGGGGTTGTAGAACATTTACGTTCCCCAAACAGACCTCCCCCGTGTGTCCTTGCTTTCCCTCTGCTGAGAAAGCTCTTCCCCTGCTCCTTGCGCACCACACGGGGTCCCTGCTGTGGGAGCCGGTCCTCACCCGCTGTTCTACTTCAGGGCTGTCTGTGCTTCTGTCCGCCCCTCTGATCTTGGATTGCCACATTTCTGTCGACATCTGTCTCTCCACCCAGACCGCACAGCTCCTAAGGATGCTCACTGGTCTCACTTTCAAATCACGACATGAGCTTCAAGTGAGCCCTCGATGCTGTTTGGCAGCCCTTCGGTTCTCTGGTGCACCTCATCCTCCCTCCTCCACCTGCAGACCCTCCTCTCATGGCTTCTGTCACCTGGCTTCTGGCTCACAGAGAAAACTGAAACAACCGGAAAAGGAGGGAATGGCCGCCAGCTCCCCGCCGCGCCCCTCCGCTGGGCCTCCCCTGATGGGACCGTGCATGCACCGTCCATGAGTCTAGCTGGGGCCCACCCCCCACTCAAGGTCGCCATCCCTCCTCATCCACTCGGGGCATCATCTCGGCACTTCTTGCCTCGCTTACATAATGTCCCTCTCTTTACTACGT